AGGGTTTAGGGTTTAGGGTTTAGGGTTTAGGGTTTAGGGTTTAGGGTTTAGGGTTTAGGGTTTAGGGTTTAGGGTTTAGGGTTTAGGGTTTAGGGTTTAGGGTTTAGGGTTTAGGGTGAAGGGTTTAGGGTTTAGGGTTTAGGGTTTAGGGTTTAGGGTTTAGGGTTTAGGGTTTAGGGTTTAGGGTTTAGGGTTTAGGGTTTAGGGTTTAGGGTTTAGGGTTTAGGGTGACTGATGGGCTGGTTGAGGGTTGAGAAGGCTTTGAGTGTAGGCTGCAGGCTTTGGGTGTCTAGACCCAGGAGTAGGCTAGGAATAGAAGGCTGCCCTTTATTTGGTTGAAAGGGGCCGACCAGGGGGCCTACACCCTAAAAAAGGAATAAGGGCCTACTCTGGGTCCTAGACTCTAAGGGTTTAGGGTTTAGGGTTTTAAGGGTTCGGGGCTTCTTTACGGCATCGGATTCCTTCGGGCTTCTGGGTATTGGGGCCTGCGATAAGGGTTTACCTGGAGGTTCAGGGTACTTAGTAACCCAACTATGACTGTACTTATAGCCCAATTATAACCCTATTAGGGTACTTAAGGGGGCTTAATAGTGTGCTATAACTACAGTTATAATTGGTTCCTAAGTACCCTGAACCTCCATACTTGGGTGCTTGGGGTTTCATTGGTGTCCAGCCTCAAGCCCATGCAAGTGCTAAGGGTATGCCCCCGTCAAAAAGGCATTGGGCATTGGGACCGCTTGAGGTGCAGGGTAAACCTTGGGATGTCCCCCCTACTACTTCCCGTCCATAAAAGGAATTATAATAGGGGGTACTGGGGAACATCCCAAGGCAAACACTACACCCTAGTTCCAGCCTGCACCCTACACCCTAGCCCTGGAACTCTAACACCCAAACCTCAAACCCTAAGTCCTAAACCCTAACCCCAAACCCTAAACCCCAAACCCTACATCCCAAACCCTGAACCCTAAACCCTAAACCCGAAAGTCCAGTCCCAGAGGCGGCAACTGTCGACCACCAGGCGCTTCCTGCGAGCAGGCGTCGTAGCGCAGCCTGTCGCGGTTATAGGGTTATAGGGTTATAATATAGGGTTTTAGGGTTATAGGGTTATAGGGTTGTAGGGTTTAGGGTTTAAGGGTTAGGGTTTAGGTTAAGCCCTTGGCTTCCTAGCTTGTCCTACGAATGCCCGAAATAGTTTTGTTTAATGTCAGAAATCAGGTTGCAAGCCCATTCAAGAGAAACTCAGCAAAAGCTACAAGCAAGTCACAAAAAACACAGAAAACAGCTTTTAATGCAAAGGGCTTTGTAGAGTTAAGGGCCCACGTGGAACCTGGACGGGGGCCAGCAGGGACCCAGGGGGGTAGGAGCAATGGAAAAAGTTGGCGAACGTTAGAAACAAGCCGAAAGAAAGCTAGAACCAGCAAAAACAAGGAAAACAAATCGGAAAAAAAGGGAGAAAGTTAGTTCAGGAACAACCGAGTAGTGGCAGCAGACTTGATTTCTGACTTTTTCGCTGACTTGACTTGACTTCTGACCTTTCGAGTTCTGCCGAAGGGGTCCCTGATGAAGCCGTCTGACTTGCTTCGAACTTGTTTTTTCCCTAACAAGTCATCGAAAGCAGCGCAAAGTTTAGGTCCAGGGCTTCGGGTGCTCAGATACCCTAAACCCTAAACCCTAAACCCTAAACCCTAAACCCTAAACCCTAAACCCTAAACCCTAAACCCTAAACCCTAAACCCTAAACCCTAAACCTCCGCCAAGGTGGCATTACATTGAAGGCGGCGGTTCCAGGCTGTGACGACTCGGCCAGGCGGATCGCGACTTCCGTCGCCAAGGCCTCTGCCGAAGACTTCTAGGGTCTTAAGGCCCTTAGGTAGGGTTTAGGGTTTAGGGTTTAGGGTTTAGGGTTTAGGGTTTAGGGTTTAGGGTTGAGGGTTGAGGGTTGAGGGTTGAGGGTTGAGGGTTGAGGGTTTAGGGTTCACGGGTTCAGGGTGTAGGGACCCTTAACATGTGAGGTTTAGGGTTTAGTTGAGCTGGGCTCCGGTCGCGTTGGGGTCCGGGACACTGCAATGCTGACATGCCTGCCTGAAGGCGCCACGGCCCACACCTAGCAAAGCCTTGCGGATCTGCAACAGACAGCACCAGGATCCCAGGGTTTCGGGTTTATGCCTAACTGTATGGAGCCTGAAATCAATAGGTTCGGGGCCTAGCCATCTACTTCATATGCTTCGCCGGTCTTGCCACAAATCTCATCGCGCAAGAGATGGGGAGACTCTCCAGATGTCGCCGAAGCAGAAACCCGAAACGCTAAACTTGGGATGTTCCCCCTTACCTAACAGTCCTTAATAGGAATCATACCCCGAAGTATCGTCCCACTATAAGGACTGTTAGTACAAGCCCTAAACCGAAACAAACCCCAACAACGCAGAGGCTACCTCAGCCTCAGAACTTCCTACAGATGCCACGGCCAGACGCTCGGGTCCTTTTGGGCCTAGTGTCGCAACCCGACACCCCAATCTCTACACACCGAGCCCCAAACCCTACATACTACGACGATTTGTCTTAAGAACCCCCCAACAAAGACTTCCACATAAGGGCCATAGAGGGATGATTATTCTGATTTTTTGGGTGGTTCTTTCTTTTTGCTTAAGAACCACCCAAAAAACTCAGAATCATCATCCCTCTATGGCCCTTATGTGGAAGTCTTTTGTTGGGGGGTCCTTAAGACAAATCGTCGTAGTATGTAGGGTTTGGGGCTCAGGGTGTGGGGCTTGGGGTGTCGGGTTGCGACCCTAAAACCTCCCTAAACCCTAAACCCTAAACCCAGGAGCCCCCAGAGCCCTGTAGAGCCCCAAGCCTCGGCCACGGCGGCGCCGTGTGCTTCCGACAGGTTCATAGCCAGGGGGTGCCTTGGTTCCCCCTCATTTGGCTGGGTTTAGGGTTCAGGGTGTAGGGTTTAGGGTTTAGCATCTTGTTGGGACGAATCTCCAAGTAACCAAGGAGGAAGAAGATGAGACTGTATTGTACCTACAACATAAGGAACCTTACACAGTTTAAAGCTCATGCGTTCACGAAGTAAGGTTGTGATCAATGTGTTTTGGATTCGCCGCGTAATGAAGGGACTCTGCTAAAAGTATAGCTACAAATCTTCAGGAGATACACGCTGCATGGGCCCTTGCCTATACTGTATCCACCCCAGCCACCCCCACCCGCCTTTATCAAATGAGGCCTAAACCCTAAACCCCTTTAGGGCCCTAAACCCTCATAAGCTCCGAAACCCTAAACTGCAAACCCTAATAAATCCTAAACCCTAAACCCTAAACCCTAAACCCTAAACCCTAAACCCTAAACCCTAAACAGGTCAGGTTCGGCGCCGGATCAGCAGGGCCAGCGCCTGCCGCAGCTGGCTGCCTCGAGCCGCGGAGGGCACCTCAGCTTGGTCTGGGAGGGGGGAGGAGTGGGGGTGGGTGGGGCGGGGAGGAGGTTTAGGGTTTAGGGTTTAGGGTTTAGGGTCTAGGGTCTAGGGTTTAGGGTTTAGGGTCTAGGGTTTAGGGTTTAGGGTTAGCACCCCAGCTGGGGGGAGAGCGGAGAGCGCAAACTTATGTTCGGGGTGGTAGGGGTGATCCTCAGGGTTCTATGGCCCACGTAAACCCGGGGGCTATCATAAACTTCTGGTTTGGGGTTTGGGGGTCTGGGGTTCAGGACCAAAAGGGGAAGGTTTAGGGTTTTGGGTTTGGGGTTTTTAGGGTTTGGGGTTTAGGGTTTAGGGTTTAGGGTTTAGGGTTTGGGGGTTTGGGGTTTTGTAGGGGTTCGGGACCAGAAGAAGGAAGCCCTGCTTCGTCAGCATGGAAGGTCAATTATGTTTGGGCTTTCTTGAGGGCTTATCGGTTTTATGGAGCCAGGGAGCCAAATTGTTTACCGCATTCTATATATATATATACACATCTATATATATATATAACCTTTATCTTGTGGCAGAATTCAGCACCCTAAGCCCTGCACCCTACATCCATCCCCTAAACCCAAAACCTCCCAAACCTTAAAATCTAAGGGGTGCCCCCTGAAGGGAGCTTGGTTTCAGAGGACCTCCCCGCATTAGGAAGCGTTAGGAAGCTTTAAGGAGGCCCCAAGGGGAAGTCTTAGGGCTATACATGGAGTCAGTAGTCCGCTTTGGAGGCTTTTTTTTATAGGAGTTTTAGTGGGGTTCAGGGTTTAGGGATGTGCTTTATAAGCCCCCGTATACCCGTATGGTAGTACTGACCTACGCCTCCCCGCAAAGCTGGGAACCCCAAAACCTGTTAGGGTTTATAGGGTTCAGGGTTCCAGAATTTAGGGTTTAGAGTTTAGGGTCCTCTTAGGGACTATTGTCATGCTACAAAAAGTTGCTAAGCCCTAAACCCGACTACCCCCCCCCCCCCCCCAAAAAAAAAAAAAAAAAAACTACAACCTTAAACCCCACTATGACCCCCAAAAACCCTATACCCCTAAAACCCATAACATCTAGAATATTCGAGAATGCCAAGCCCAACCCAACCCTAAACCCTAAACCCCACCGAGGCACGTAGAGCGTTGGGGCGTCCTCTGCTGGCTCCTCGGAGAGGTATGCCAGAACTGTCTCGCTCCCGCGGACCAGCGCCTGGCTAAACTCAACTTCGGCGTTTGCTACTGGGTGTAGGGTTTAGGGTTTAAGGTTTAGGGCTTCATGCTCAAAGGACTGATATTCTAGGGTTTTTGGGCTTAGGGTGTAGGGTGTAGGGTTTGGGGGTTAAGTTTTTGGGCCTAAAGGCCCAAGCTTTTGGGCTATTTTGAGCCTTAGGGCTGCTATTATTTGCTTAAGAAACTCCAAACAATGTAAAGTAACAATCCCTAATATTGCTGTTTTTTTTTTTTTTTTGGGGGGGGGGGGGGTTCTTAGGCAACTGGTAGTCTAAGGGGCTTTAAACAATTGGTTCAGGATTTGCCGTGGGTCTCTGAGGTCTTCTGGCGATGGCTTTCGTATTTGTTTTAGCCTTGTCTCCAAGCTTCTGGCAGTGCGGGCCTGCGGGCCCACAGGGCTGCAACGTCAAGGGGGTCATACTCGGACCCCTAAGGATTTACCGCTAAGAGGTTCATACACTCCTAATTTGGCCCCTTCTATTGGTAGAGGCCCATGACAGCGCTTATCTATGAACCGATTGCCAAATCTCTACATCTGATCTCTGAACAAACGCCTTGCGTGTCTGTGATGGGTGTTTAGCAGGAGCACGAGAACACGGACCTCGTGCCGTAACCACAGACTGAGAGGGGAGATGCTAAGAGCCAGATTAACAATCACCCGGCTTCGGGTTTAAGGTTGCCCCAGTGACCAGTAGGATTGGAAAGGGCCCCCCCTCCGGATCCCTAAATCTTTTACGCAGCCGAGACCCGGCACTCGAAACACTACTCCTAAAGCCAATTGCTACAAACCCTAAACCCTGAAGCCTCAAACCCTCAAACCCAAAAACCCTAAAGCCCTAAAACCCTGAAACCCTAAAACCCTAAAACCCTAAAACCCTAAAACCCTACAAAACCCTACAAAACCCACAAGCCCTACAAAGCTAAACCCTAAACCCTAAACCCTAAACCCTAAAACCCTAAACTCTAAGCATGTTCGCACGGGAGCCTCCGCCTCTCTGATGCGCAGCCGCTGCAGCAAGGCGCTGCGCTGATCCACGGCCTCCGGCACCAGCAGCTTAGGGTTTAGGGTTTAGGGTTTAGGGTTTAGGGTTCAGGGTTCAGGGTTTAGGGTTTAGGGTTTAGGGTTTAGGGTTTAGGGTTTAGGGTTTAGGGTTTAGGGTTATAGGGTTTAGGGTTTAGGCCTGGTACAACAGAGGATGCTGCTCGTTCAGCCACACCTGGACATAGGCCTGAGCTGCTTTTTTGGGGGGGTTTGGGGCGGCTTTGGGGGCTCCAAGTGAGTTCTGGTTCCTGCGATGAATCACTCCACAGGTAACAGCCGTGGTTGCGTGTGTCTTTGAAAGAGAGGTTTAGGGTTTAGGGTTTAGGGTTTATAGGGTTTAGGGCTGCTAGTAGGTCTGCGTTCGCAGTGCTCGTAGGGACTTGCAGGCCTTGCCCAAGAAACGGCCTCAAAAGCACACACGCGCGTGATCCAAAGCTAGTAGGAACCCTGAACCCGACACTGCACCCCGAAGCCTGTCTCTATGTCTGGTGGGACCCAGGATTCCGCAGTTGACATCGACTGCCTTCTTCTCCTCATGCTCACCCACATAGAGCGCTTTCTTTTTTTTTTGTATGTGTGTGTGTGTGTTTTGTTTTTGTTTTTTCCTAGGGTTCGAGGTTTAGGGCGCTGAGTCAGGGCACTCGCCTTGTTGGGGAGAATTAGGTTTCATACCTGTGGCGGGTGGGCCAAGCGGTGGTCGTCCATGGGTGGCCAGACAGGGCGTTTTGCCTGAAATCAACAGCTTCTGGCCACTCCGTTTGGATACGGGCCAGCAATCCAGGTGTTTAGGGGCTGATAACGTCATAAACCTTTATACAAATTGGCATACTGGCACTACTGGGCATCCAAGTAGGGTTTCAGCTTTAGGCTTTAGGGGTAACCCTTCATCCCTTTTGGCACAGGCTTTTCGTGAATCTCGCCTTAAACCCTAAACCCTAAACTCTAAACGTCCTAAATCAACGCCCCAAACCTAAAAACCCTAGACCCTAAGTGAACCTTTAGAAAAGAAGGGCACGTATTGGGTTTAGCCCTGTCTTCGTAGGCCAAGCCCAGATGCCATCGTGACGCGGAGTGCCTCGGCAGCGTCTCGCCCGTCGCTCTCACCCAGCACCTGCGCAGCAAACTGCAGGGTTTAGGGTTTAGGGTTAGGGATTAGGGTTTAGGGTTTAGGGCTAAGGTTTAGCTTTTTTTTAGGGTTTAGGGTTTAATGTTTAGGGCTTTTTTTAGGGTTTAGGGTTTAGGGTGTAGGGTTTTTTTAGGGTTTAGGATTTAGGGTTTATGGTTAGGGCTTTTTTTCGGATTTAGGGTTTAGGGTTTAGGGTTTACGTGGCAAGGTGGACTGTCGTAGCCCACAAGACCCAAACCCTAAACCCTAAACCAGCATGTCAAACGCCAGGTTGGCCACCTGACCGCACAAGGAGTTGGGTGACCCTCAATGAGATGCACTTGTTGAAGCTGCGTGGTGCCCTCCTGTCGCCATCCGGCGTTGACCTACTCAGCTGCAGTTGCCAGGAACTCGGCTGCAGGGACATTAACAGGAACATCAGGATGGATTTGCAAGCAGTGCGCGCGAAGCCAACACCAGACCGTGCTGGGGTTTCGAGTTTAGAGAGTTCGGGTTGAGAACGCCACCTAGGCTGCTGGGATCCCCAGCGACCAGAAAGTGAAAAAATGCACCCTCCTGTAGCGTTTAGGGTTTAAGGTTGTACTTGAACATTGACACCGAAAACCTCAACCCTAAAACCCGAGATTTGTGGCCTGGCGCTGCCTTGGAAGATGGTCCTCGCACCCTCAACCCCTAAACTCACTCAGTTCGGTTCCCTGTGTCCTTCCTTAAAGGGTAGCCCTAAACCCTAAACCCTAAACCCTACACCCTAAGGCGAACTTTAGGAGCAAGTACCTGGTTACATGGGGCCGACCTCCACCGGCGGCAGCGAGGGCGGCGGACTCGCGAGGCCGGGCGGGGGAGGCCTGGAAGGTGATGGCAACTTTCGGGTTAGGGTTTAGGGTTTAGGGTTTAGGGTTTAGGGTCTGGGTTTAGGGTTTAGGGTTTAGGGTTTAGGGTTTAGGGATTAGGGATTAGGGTTTAGGGTTTAGGGTTTAGGGCTCAGGGTTTAGGGTTTAGGGTTTAGAGAAACCCAAACTATAGACACCCAGCGCGATTCCCTATAACAAGGACCCAAGCCCCCACCTAGTGCCCCGGTGCGCTGCAGTGTCTATGGATGGCGCCTGAAAATGTATGAAGACGAAAAGTGCAGGTAGCATAGGCCACATGACAGCAACTTGGCTGACTTCTGAACCCCTCCTAAAAGTTTAACTTTTATAGGCTCCTTATTGTAGTTTCTACAAAAACCAAAAAGGTTAAAGGCCCAAGAGACAGCCAGAAGAAAAGCCACCGGTTCCCCCCGAGGCTTCTGCAATGTCTCGCCGGCCAAGTCCGCACGCTTCATGCCCAGCATCTCGAACTTCGCGAAGTACCTTCAGGAAACCAGTGGTGCGTGGGCAGACTCGGGGGGCTTCGGCACACCCCGATAACCCCCTTAACCCTCAGAAGCCTAAGCCCCCAAACCCCGAAGCCTAAACCCTAACTCCCTAAACTCCAACTCCCTAAGCCCCGAACCCCTGAAGCCTAAAGCCAAAAGCCAAAACCCAATGCCTTGAACTCAAAACTGCTTCCTTGTTAGGGTTTGTATTCAAACTTATCATTTTTATTCCTTCTTGGGAATTCGATATGACACAACTGCAAACTATAACCAACAAGGGCCCAGAAAACAAGATGGCCTGCCGAGGCCTGGATGGAGCACTGCGCAGTCGCTGTCTCCTGGCCCAAGGCCCAAGGGGCGGAAGAGACCCAGAGTTCATGTGGGTTCAGGGTTTAGGGTTTAGGGTTTAGGGTAACCTCCCCACAACCATCGCGCTCGCGCTCCTCCCTGCGCGGGGGACAGGAAGACTTCGACTCCAGTGCTTGGCAGCTCCTGGAAACCCAAGAGAGTTTTGGGGCTTAGGGTTTTAGTTTAGGATTTAGGGTGTAGGGTTTGGGGTTTAGGGTGTAGGGTTGGGGTTGTTGAAGGGATCTACTGGCTTTTCAGAAGCCATCGCAAATGTAGGACTGTAGGTAGGATTTAGCATGTACGGTTTAAGGGTGACCTTGTGCTTAATGTTTCGGGTTTGCGATTTGGGGCTCAGGGCCCATGTTTCAGTGTCCACTCTAAGCCCCAAGCATTGCGCAACCGCGTAGGGCAAAGAAATCTGCAAATTATCGAGGGAGGGGGGTTCATGGTAGGTAGGTACCTAGCAAGCCTTAGGGAGCAGTGGGGAGCATTATAAGCTAACCTTGGGTTACGTACCCCCGTTGAACCCGCACCTTAGAAAGGGACCCCAACACCCTTTGCTTCGATCTGGGGCTTAGGGTTTAGGGTTGAGGGTGCTTAAGACTTCGGAAAGCACCATAAAAAACCCCGAATGGCCTACAACCCTGAAACCCCCAAAAGCTCCAAACCCTAAACCCTAAACCCTAAACCCTAAACCCTAAACCCTATAAACCCTGAAACGCCTAGAGCCAGCCCCCAAACAGACCTGGAGCCCAAGAACCCGAACACCCTGGAACCCCCTACATCCCTGGAGGCCCTGCAGCCCTCAACTTGGAATGTTCCCTAAACTCTAAACCCTAAACCCTAAACCCTAAACGGTCCTTAGCAGGGATGATAGTGCACCCGATGATCATCCCTACTAAGGCCTGTTTTCATAAGGGGGAAACATCCCAACCCTAAACCCTAAACCCTAAACCCTAAACCCTAAACCCTAAACCCTAAACCCTGAACCCTATAAGCGCTAACCCTAAACGCGAAGCCGCCCTGAGCGCGAGAGCCTCGTCTGGTTTGCCTGACTGTGGGCGACTCCAGCTGACCCAACCGTGGCTCCCTCGAGTCTGGTTTCTTTTTTTGTTCTTGAGGGTTTAGGGTTTAGGGTTTAGGGTTTAGGGTTTAGGGCTAGGGTATAGGGCTTAGGGCTTAGGGTTTAGGGTTTAGGGTTTAGGGTTTAGGGTTTAGGGTTAGGGTTTAGGGTTTAGGGCTAGGGTATAGGGCTTAGGGTTTGGGATGTTCCCCCTTCTACTAACAGTCCTTTATGGGGACTCGAATAGGGGGCACTCGAATCCCCCTTGAGGAATGTTAGCATAGGGGGGCGGCGCATCCCCGGGTTGAGGGGGGTTTAGGGTTTAGGGTTTAGGGTTTAGGGTTTAGGGTTTAGGGTTTAGGGTTTAGGGTTCAGGGTTTAGGGTTTAGGGGCTTGAGGGGCTTTACCTCCAGACTGGGGGGTTCATTTGTGTTTTTGTTTCGGGGGTTAGGGGTTTCAGGTGTTGTTAGGTTTGGGGGATTAGGGGATTCAGGGCTTAGGGCTACTATTTGCTTAAGAACCGAAGGTGTTGGATTTCGGGTGCAGGGTTGGGTCTCCAGCTTGTAAGTTTACCTCCAGGTTTAGGGTTTAGTTAGGGTGCACTTGAAGGGAGCCCTGGGGCAGAGCGAGTTTAGGGCCGAGGATGCAGCATTCAGGTTTTTGCAGTTTCAGTAGAAGCTGAGGAGATAAACCTAAACCGCAAACCCAACCGCCTGAACCCCCTAAACCCCCCTAAACCCCCCCAAACCCCCCCGAACCACCTGAACCCCCTATAAAGCCCCAAACCCTAAACCCTAAACCTAAACCCTAGACCCTAAACCCGAAGCCCTTCAGACCAGTGCAAGAAAGACATCATGCGCCGGGGGGCTCGTTGGCAGCGCCGCATACTTGGCAAAGAGCTTGCGCAGCTCCTGGAATGCGGTTTAGGGTTTAGGGTTTAGGGTTTAGGGTTTAGGGTTTAGGGTTTAGGGTTTAGGGCTGCCAGCCCTAAACCCTACACCGAAACCTATCAAAACCCGCTCTCAAAACCCCTAGCCTTGAGGGCTTTGGCAGCTCGCAAGCAACCAGAGGTTGCAAAGCTGTTCGCCGCTAAGCCCTGTAAACCTAAACACTCAAGCCCAAAAGGAACCAGATTCATTAGCTCTCAGAAGCCTGGAAGAACAGCGCGCATTCCACATGGGGGGGGGGGGGGGGGACGTTCCAAAGCTAGGGCTCAATGCTTTAGTATGGATGTTACCCCTTGTACTTACAGGCCTTAATAATGAGTTGTACCATAATCCCTATTAAGGGCTGTTCGTATAAGGGGGAACATCTCAATGAATCAAATTGCTGATTCACAAGGGGCCCACTTTTGCTTGGGCTCCCCAACGGCTTCGACGGGCTAGTCTCAAGTCCCCTGCGGCGCGTTCGTATAGGTCCCAATCTAACGATACGGTCTAGAGCTACCCGGCTTCGCGAATGTCTAGACGTACTGTTTATTGGATTGAAACGAGGTACCTCGCATAAGGCTTATATAGGAGGATCTCGGTTGCCGAATTCCGTCATTCCTTGCTATATAAACCACCAAGTAAACCCCAAACCTAAACTATATCTTGAGCCCTAACCCTACATCCAAAGCCCTAAGCCCTGACCGGCCTCCACCTTGTCCACGTCCAGCGCGGCAACTTGCGTGCGCGCCTGTCCTGCGTCTTACTGCAATGCTAGGGCCAAAGGGGCTAAGGCTCAAAAGGTTGCAGGGTGTTTCCCTAAACCCTAAACCCTAAACCGTGAACCCTAAACCCTTAAACCCTTAAACCCTACAAACCCTAAACCCTAATTTGGGGGGACCAAGTTCCTGAGCTCGGTGTAGTAGGCGTATATTCTATAAGAATCCCTGTGCAAAGATGTACGAGTTTGTTCCAAGTTCCTTCGAGGTTTTTTCTGGTTCTTCTTGCAGGGAATAAGGGAATTAGGTTCGAGGGTGATTTAGGGTACCTAACTCTGCTCAGAACGACTAAGTCAAGGGTCTAGGGCCCTTTTTCAAGGTCTCCTACGGGAATCTAAGGGCCATGTTTTAGGGGTACGTCCTTAGGGGTACGAGTCTTAATCCCTTGAAATCCTGAACCCTAAACGCTTTTTTATCAACCCTAAACCCACGAACTCGGAGGTCAGGGGTGTGCTCGGAGGAGATTCTAAGGGCACCTCCGACTTGATTCATTCCTTCCCAAATGTTCTGAAACGCCAATGACTGAAGGGACCCCTAAACCCTAAACCCTATCCCTAACAGCGCAGCGGGCGTTCGAATGTGGGACGCTAGCTTTTTTCTGCCACTTGCCCTCCCCCCCCCCCCCCGGCACCTTAGTGGAAAACGATGTTGTTTTACTTGCCCCACTTGTTTCACTTGTCCTTTGTGAACTGCTAAGCGAGTTCGGCCACTCGCCCCGCTCGCCCCGCCTGCCCGACCTGCCCCGCCGTGCCCTCGAGCTTGGGGAAGTGGGAGAGGTGGAGAGTGAGAGAAGAGGCGGGGGCGGGGGGGAATATTCCCAAAGAGCCCAATATTGCTTAATTAAGGAATGTTCCTTAAATCATATAGGGATCCTTAATAATTTTTATTATATGTATAATTAAATATTTTACTTATGATTATACATTATGATTTAAGGTATTCCTTATTAAGCAATATTGGGCTCTGTGGGTTGTGGTCCAGTGGGGGCAAGTGGGGCAAGGAGGGCAAGCATGTTGGCAGTGGGTCAAAGGGCCCCAAGCTCCCTCCCCAAACCCACAACCCTACATACAGCTTGGCCCTGCTCGCCCCAACCACAAACAACAGCCGTCTGACGCAGACTTGGGGTTGGGGCGAGCACGGCGCAAGAGGGAAGATTGGGGGGGGGGGGGGGGGGGGGGGGGGGGGGGATTGCCCAACACTTGCCCCTAAACCCTAAACCCCTAAACCCTAAACCCCTAACCCCTCAACCCTCAACCCTAAACCCTAAACCCTAAACCCTAGCCCTAAACCCTAAACCCTAGAAGGCAGGAGCTCCTGGACCGAGCCACTTGAAGAGGTCGCCCAACAGGAAGTCGGCAATCCTGTCGTATGTGGGGGGGGGGGGGGGGTTTCCGAAGTTAGGGTTTAGGGTTTAGGGTTTAGGGTTTGGGGTTTGGGGTTTGGGGTTTGGGGTTTGGGGTTTGGGGTTTGGGGTTTGGGGTTTGGGGTTTGGGGTTTGGGGTTTGGGGTTTGGGGTGGGTTTATCTTGACCGGTCCTATATGCAGTTTTAGGGTTTTGTGCTGCAAAAATACAGGTTTTGGGTTCTTAAAGTAGGGTTTAGGCTTGAGGGCAACCTTACATGAACCAGGGTTCGTCTTACTGCTCTTTGTGAGTGTCTATGATACAGGGTAGTGAGTGTGCATATTGCGTGTCTTTTTTCGGATGCTAGCAATATGAATAAACCCTACTTCGAACGAACCCCAAACGGGTTTTGGTCCATGACCTTCACAGGGAATAGAGCGACAATTGTTATTTATTTTGTCTTGAGGGTTTAGGGTTAAGGGTTTAGGGTTTAGGAAGTAGGGATTAGGGTTTAGGGAATAGAAAAAATTGTGTGTGTATAACCCCAATCTTATGTTCATTTGGTCCCAAAGCTAATAGAACCGGAGACGCTAGCTTAGGAAGACACTAGACACATGCCATGCGGTCGAAAGGTGAGATGAGTACTGGCAAGGTTTCACGCAGTGTTGTACATGACAGCTTCCATGCTGGGCGGATCAAATGCAAAACTCCTGCGCCATTCGCGACAACCCTAAACCCTAAACCCCAGAACACCAAGAGGCCCTGATTAAAACACAGACTTCTCGGTCGGAACTTGAAAAGCAAAAGTCAGCCCAAAGCCACACGAAGCGAAGCCTACAAGCCTGAGCCTTGGAGCCCGCCCAGGTAGCTGTCCATGTGTTGTCGGTTGCTTTTGGTGGGGGAGGGGTTAAGGTTTAGGGTTTATAGGGTTTAGGGTTTAAGGTTTAGGGTTGAGGCCCCTCTCTTTACGCCAGAGCCCCCTGTCTCCTCAGAGCGTCTCTCAGCGACTTGTCTTCGCCCGCCCGCGCGATGCCTGCGAAGAGGAAAACTGAGGAATAAGGGGAAGCAATCCCTCAAGAAGGGGCCTGGCGTTTAGGGTTTAAGGTTTAGGGCTTCTCCCTCGTAAGGACCACTAAGTAGAAGCTCGTTCGGGTTTCGAGCCCTCACTTTCGCACACATCATGAAGGTTCAGGGCTATCATTCTGTGCCTATACCCTAGAATTTAGGGTTAAGGCTTTAGGGTGTAGCCCTAAACCCTAAACCCTAATCCTTGAACCCCAAAACCCAAACCCCAAACCCTACACCCTAAACCCTAAACTCAAACTCATAAGCCCGACATAGTTCAAGGCACAGCGGCTATGAATCCTGTGCTCCTCCGTGGGCCACTCCCGCACTCCGAAGGACAGCAGGGGCTCCTGTGGTTAGGAAAACCCTAAACCCTAAACCCTGAACCCTAAACCCTAAACCCTAAACCTAAACCCTAAACCCTAAACCCTAAACCCTATGTTTAGGGCTTCGTAGGCGTAGGGTCTTGCCATCGCTGGGTTTGGGGTATCTGGGCTTTGGGGGGGATGGTTTTTAAGGATCGGTGTAATTAGCAGTGTAGGGACGTATGTAGGGTTTAGGGTTTAGGGTTTAGGGTGTAGGCTGTAGGGTGTAGGGTGTAGAGTGTAGGGGGTAGGGTTTAGGGCGTTTGGGGTTTAGGGTTTCGGTTTCAGATTTGGGGTTTAGGGGCGTCCAGGGTTACGGGCATCATAATCAACAAATTCGGTATGCGTGGGGGGGGGGGGGGTCGGTCCCGGTCACGCATCCCCCCCCCCCGCCTTTTTTGGCAGTGTCCCGCCAGATCACTCTTGTCGGCATCTTAGCTCCCCCCCTGAACCCTAAGCTGTAAACTCTAAAAGCCCTCAACCCTAAACCTTTAATCAAAAACCCTAAACCCTACGCCCCTAGCACTAAGCTCGACAAACCCTAAACCCTAGACCCTCTAACCTTTAAACCCTAAACTCTCAAAATCCTGAACCCTACAAACCCTGAACCCTAAACTTCAAAAAACCCTAACACCTGTAACAAACTTAACTCTTGAAACCCTAAACTCTAAAAACTGCACCAACCTCTCTCTCTCTCAAAACCCTGAGTCTCTCAATACCCTAGCTCTAAAAACCCTAAATTGTAAAAACCTTCTCAAAACCCTAAACTCTCAAACCCTAAACCCTAAGCCCCAAGCCCTCAAAACCCTAAACCCCAAACACCTCGAACTCAAAAAAACCCTCTAAGCCCCTTCTCTCCAAACGCCGAACTCCTCCTCTAAACCCTAAACTCTCAAAACCCTAAACCCTAGGTCCTAGGCCCTAACCCCTAAACCCCCTAAACCCCCTAAACCCCCTAAACCCCCTAAACCCCCTAAACCCCCTAAACCCCCTAACCCCCTAACCCCCTAACCCCCACCCCCTAAACCCCCTAAACCCCTAACCCCCTAAACCCCTAACCCCCTAAAACCCCTAAACGCCCCTAAAACCCCCTAAACCCCCTAAACCCCCTAACCCCCTAAAACCCCCTAAACCCCCTAAACCCCTAACCCCTAACCCCCTAAACCCCCTAAACCCCCTAAACCCCCTAAACCCCCCTAAACCCCCTAAAACCCCCTAAAACCCCCAAACCCCCTAAACCCCCTAAACACCCCTAAACCCCCTAAACCCCCTAAACCCCCTAAACCCCCTAAACCCCCTAAACCCCCTAAACCCCCTAAACCCCCTAAACCCCCTAAACCCCCTAAACCCCCTAAACCCCCTAAACCCCCTAAACCCCCTAAACCCCCTAACCCCCCTAAACCCCCTAAACCCCCTAAACCCCCTGAACCCCCTAAACCCCTTAAACCCCCTAAACCCCCTAACCCCCCTAAACCCCCTAAACCCCCTAAACCCCCTAAACCCCCTAAACCCCCTAAACCCCCTAAACCCCCTAAACCCCCTAAACCCCCTAAACCCCCTAAACCCCCTAAACCCCCTAAACCCCCTAAACCCCCTAAACCCCCTAACCCCCTAAACCCCAAACCCCGAACTCCTCTTAGCCCCTGAGTCGCCGTTAGGTCCTCCAGCACCCTCGCGTAGTGCAGCTCTAGCTCCCGCACCTCAGACTATCTGTGGGTCAGGTTTCAGGATAGGGGTTTGGGGTTCGGGGTTTGGGGTTTAGGGTTTAGGGTTTAGGGTTTAGGGCTTCAGGGTGTAGTGCTTCTGCTGCATGATCTGAGGTGGGGTTTAGGGTGAGGATGTTTTGAAAGCTCTGGTGTCTTGGGGAGCTAAGGCTTGCGCTCCAGGTTGCATTTAACGGAACTTTAGGGTGTAAGGGTTTAGGGTTTAGGGTTTAGGGTTTAGGTTTTAGGGTTTAGGGTTTAGGGTTTAGGGTTTTTAGACGGATCCCTGAAAATGGTACTTTAGGTCTGCTTATCAGTTATGTTTTGTTTCCTAAGCAACTAGTAGCCAAGTTGCTATAGCCAGGGAAGCAATAGATCCAGTAGAATGCGTACGACTGCAACTACCATATCGTGGCAGCACTCAAACCACTGAACAGCAGGCCAGCCTTCTTTCACTGGTTCCACCGGCGCAAAACCTAAACCATAAACCCTAAACCCTAAAGCCTAAAGCCTAAACCCGAACTAAACCCTAAACCCTAAACCAAGTACCCTCTGCTGTTCCAGGGTTGACCTGGTCTTCCTGCAGTCTTCCGAAGACAAATTACGTTCCAGCCATCTGTTAATAATATACTTGTTGCACCTTCTCCAATTCCTGTTGATGCACCTGCTACTACAGCAACTGACATGTTTCGATCCGTGTTTGTCAACTAGAAAATGTTTACCAAAACATGGTTTGATTCCCTACTTTTGATATTTATGCTATACACAAACCGCCCCAAACACATCCGCGCACAAGTTCTCAAGGTAGCCCTTAGGGGGCTGAATACCCTGGCCCCCAAAAAAGGTTAACCTTTTGGATATAGCAGTTTAGGGTTTAGGGTTTGGGGTTTAGGGCTTAACGGCTGCCTACTCAATCCCTTAGACCCCTCAGTCTGCGCGCAGGGGAACGGCTCCCAGCTCGGAGAGCTTGCTCCACAGCTGGTCCGAGTACTTGCGATCCTGGCGCCACCCTAACCCCTAAACCCTAAACCCTAAACCCTAAACCCTAAACCTGAATAACCCTAATAACCCTAATAACCCTAATAACCCTAATAACCCTAATAACCCTAATAACCCTAATGACCCTACTGACCCTAATAACCCTAATAACCCTAATAACCCTAAACCCTAAACCCTAAACAGAGCTTCGGGTTGAAGATCTGAGGATCGAAGGCATTACGATTTTGAAGATGCTGGGCTTCGGTTCTGGGATAATGAGAGGCTTTTTCCCCCTTACTTCTTGGTAGGGAATGAGAGGGCCCTATTTAATCCTTTAAAGGCTATGTATCGGGCCCTAATTCCCTCATCCCCTACTAATACCATGCCGTTGCGTGCTAGCGGGTGTTGCGCATCGCTCCGCAAGCGCCGTCTCCGTGAGAAAGGCCACACGCCCACCAGTGGCGATTCCGACCCGTGCTGCCACACTGAACTGACAGTTGCCGGGCGGAGCCTCTCCAGGACATGTCGTCTCCCAAAAATTGTCCCGAGAAAGAGGGGTGGAGACTGTTGTTCCCCTACAGGGACTAGCATCGGCTGCTTCAACAGCCGCTCGAGGGGTACAAGGAGCCGAAGACGAGGATCAGCCCGCCACCATCTTCAAGAAGGTCCATGCCAGAGGCCAGAGGATGAGACTGAACTAAAGGGGCTCATGTAAGTACAGAAAGGCTTGGGAGGAGCTGGCGATAACGTATAGAAAGACCATGTTCCAGGACTGGGTGTACACTGCTTGTGCGTGGACAGACTGGAAACAATGAAGGCAGTACCGGACTACCGAGGTGAGGCTACAGCAGAAAAAACCGGCTTGCTGGAGCAAGCAGTCTGAATGTACTACGTGGAGGCTCCGCAAGGCCGGGAGGTAGCAAGGCATCGATGCTGCACTCTGCGAGAAGCAGCCCCACGCGCACGGCGCGTCGCGCATCCTCTTGCCATGATGGGTCCATGGCGGGCAAGGCAGACAAAAGTTGAACACGCACTATACTTGAGGAGGTCAGCGGACACATGCCGGCATAGTGTATCTACGGATGCCAACCTGACATCTCAATGAACCGCATTTTGATTGCGCAAGAGGGACCGAAGAGAGAAGGTAGACACAGCAACACGACACCTGGGCACGTGCTCCAACACCGTTGGTGGTGAGGACGGTGCACAAGTGCGGAAAAATCGAATGAGTGAAGGAAGCGTGAAAACGAATGAGGCTGGCACTGTCACGCTGACGGGAGGGCTTCGGGCGAGGGGGGGTGCTCATCGGCGGAGGCCTTCCCTGGTGACCCTGGTGTCCCACCCACCTCGGCAACACCCTGTAAGACATCGCAGCACCCGTCAGAACCGTGCTCTGCTTGCTGCCGTCAGAACCGTGCTCTGCTTGCTGTTCTGGGGGGCGTCTGAATGAAGGCTCGAGCCTGCCGACACTATCGGTACCTCTAGGTATCTCTTTCAGCTGCTACCGGCCAATTCTGCCTGCAACAAACTCTCTGGCGTGGTCGAGCCGCGGCTTGCTCACTTGTGAATGGCATCACGATTTCATGATCTCTTGGCAATCCCCGTGCGCAATCTTGCTGAGATGCCCCTTCTATATCGGGACAACATCCAGGACGACCTTCCAGGACAACACCGGCAGCTTTGCCTCCAGGCAACAATCGGCCAAGTACACCCGGCACAGCGCTGCACCTGTCTACCAGGACACAGCCGCGCGGCCTGATTGGAGGTATCCAAGAGGCCGCCGTCCTTGCACCTGTCCTCGCGGCGCACGCATGGCCCCTTGCCGAAAAGCACTCGTAGGCTTGAGCCAAGATGGCTGTCTGTTTACTTATTACCGTTTGCGACTTGCCTGCGCTGGCACGACCTTTATCCCGACCGCTATCACGACTACGATGATCAGCCTTACTAACCCCACTACCATTGAATAAGTACTACCGGTACTATGACTACTATGACTAATAATTTACAACTCAGTCGGGGTGTTCCGACAAGTTTCGGGTACATTCCGGGCAGCCTACCTTATTGCTAGTGAAGGAGCGTCCCTACTTATTTAGGGAATACACACTACGAGACCCAAGAGTAACCCAACAAAAAGGCGCCCTTTTTGGGCTGAAGGGTTTATAAGGGAACTTTAACCCTAAAAAAGGCGATAGGGCCTACTCAAAGGTCCTAGTTATTCTCTTAAGCCGTAAACCCTCAACCCCAAATCCTAGCAAACCCTGAAAAAGCCCCAAACCCAAAAAAATTAGGGTAGGAAACGCCAGTATCGGACGGCACACCGCCTCCTTAACGCAGCATTGATGGACTGGTAGCCAGCTTCCTCGGGCTGGGTCCCGCAATTCTCCTAGAATCCTGAAACCCCAAACCCCACCTTTAAGGTTTAGGGTTTAGGGTTTGGGGTTTGGGGCTTAGGGTTTCGACCCCAAGCCCTAAACCCTTCTTCGCACCCAAACGCATACCCAAAACCCGTTCTGCAGCTCGAAACCGCAAACCCGTGAGGGATTTTGGCGGGCTTAGGGTTTAGGGATTGGGGATGTCAATTGGGCTTAGGGTTTCGCGTTTAGGGTTTAGGGTCACTCTTGGCGCTGCTAGAGTTTAGGGTTTAGGGTTCAGCGACATACATGCGTTCAAGCAACCCCTCCTCCCCAAGCCCGAAAGCCTGAGCCTTAAACCCTAAGCCCTAAAACCAACCTCTCAAGCCAGTGTGCCCTCTGTCACAAAAAAAGCGGCGCACGCCTGCAAATCTCAGAGAAAACCCTAAACTCAGGGCCTAGGCCGCCCCCTACGTTGGGTGTCGGCGCTTAGCCCTTTCCTCGATGATGGCACAAACTGACCGCCCTGCCCCCCCCCCCCCCCCCCCCCCCCCCCACCCCCTGACCCCTTCTGGCCCCTGGCCGGCCTCTCGGTGCCTGGCCCGACCCCGCTCTTCGAAACCTTGCTCCCTGACACTGCCCACCGACCCCCTGTTCCTTTGAGTCTCGGACGCACAAACTGAATAAGTTTTTAGAAGTGGACTGTTGTCTGAGTTTAGGAATAGGTTTGGGTGGCTTTGCCGCCTTGGACGGCGTGGGGTGGGAGAAATAGTGTTAGATGGCCCTCCACTATCGGGTCAAAGCCGCTCTTCGCACCTCACGAAGCTTTCGAGCTTGTTCCGAAACCTAACCTTCACAGCATCTACGCCCTACCACAGCAAACCCTAAACGCCACAGAGAGCCCCAGAACCTCCTTTTGCAGGTCACCTAGCACCCCCCAGACGTGGCGGCCCAAAGTCCCCTGTTTGAAGCCCGAAGCCCCTCTTGCAAGAGGCTTCGCCGTTCTAGGGTTTGGGGTTTAGGGTTAGGGTTTAGGGTTTAGGGACAGAAAGACTCCAGACCCTCCAATCCCCCTGCGCTTGACCCGAAGCCCTGGATCCGCACCCTTGGGGGCTCGGACCCCGGACGGGGCACTGCCTTGAACGCCCCCGCATTGGACCAAGCGAACTGGGAGACCCGAAAACTGCAGGGTTTAGGGTTAAGGGTTTAGGGTTTAGGGCTATAAGATTTTTTGCCAGGTCGCCGCGAAGCTTCCTGTTCCTGTTCTGTGAGTTCTGCGACTTGGTCAGCCGCCTTGGATTGCAGTCATCAAAAGCAGCGCCAGATTCTTTGGAGCGACTCGCTGAGCCCAAGCAGCCCCACATCAAATGCCACGAAGAGAGGTCGTGCAGCTCTTAAGGCCCCAGAGAACCAAATTGCAGAAAAAAACTAGGGTTGAGGGTTTAGGGTTTAGGGTTTAGGGTTTAGGGTTGTAAGATGTCCGAGTTCTACTTAGTCTACACGGGTCCAGGATATACGGGGAGGGAAGGGGGGGGGGGGGGTGGAACCCTAAACCCTAAACCCTAAACCCTGAACCCTAAACCCTAAACCCTAAACCCTAAACCCCAAACCCTAAACCCCTGAACTGGCGGCCGCCCAGCTACGGATCGTCTGGCACAAAGATGAGCCGACTTCCGTCCCGGAAGGCATCGTCAACCTGCAAGGATGGCTCCCAAAAACTTAGGGGTTGCTTAGGGTTTAGGGTTTAGGGTTTAGGGTTTAGGGTTTAGGGTTTAGGGTTTAGGGTTTAGGGTTTAGGGTTTAGGGTTTAGGGTTTAGGGTTTAGGGTGTAGGGTGTAGGGTTTAGGGCTGGTCTCCTTCAACGTCCTGCCGGCTGGTGTTCGGTTTATTTCGCAGTTAGGGCTTTAGGGCTTTATTTGGGGTCTAGGGGTTTTGGGTTTGGGGTGTATTTGGGGTTTGGGGCACGCTGGGAGTTGGAGGTCCAGCGGGCTCTGGGACATGCATGAACCTACAAACCCTAAAAACCCTAAAAACTCTAAAGCCCATAAAAAAAAAAGCTAAAACCCTAAAATGTCTACGAAACCTTACAAACCCTTCTAAAAAACCCTAGGCGCCCGCGAACGATGGGCTTTCAAGGCGATCCTCCCGTTCTTTAGGGGTGCCGATCTTGGCAGGCGTCAACGATCCTGGAGCACCAGTCCCTGGAGAGGGCTCAGGGTTTATAGGGTTTATGGGGTTTATGGGGTTTATAGGGTTTATAGGGTTTATAGGGTTTATAGGGTTTATAGGGTTTATAGGGTTTATAGGGTTTAGGGTTCATAGGGTTTAGGGTTCATAGGGTTTAGGGTTTAGGGTTTAGGGTTTAGGGTTTAGGGTTCAGGGTTATGGAGTAACCTGGGAATAAAAAAGAGTGCCCGTTTTGACTTCAAGGGGCTGATAAGGGGAACCCGAGCCGAGCAACCTAGGCATAAAAAGGGTGCCCGTTCTGACTTAAAGGGGCTTATAAGGGGAACCTGAAGCCTAAACAAAAGGAATACGGGCCTACTCTGGGTCCCCCTAAACCCTAAACCCTAAACCCTAAACCCTGAACCCTGAACCCTGAACCCTAAACCCTAAACCCTAAACCCTAAACCCTAAACCCGAAACCCTAAACCCTAAACCCTAACTCGCAGGGTTTACGTGGCAAGGGCCTCGGCTGCGCGCCGGTGCTTCTGAAGAATGAAGAGGCTTTCCTTGGTCCACCCCTCTCCCGACACTGTCTCGCGCGCGCGCTCGAAACCGTAAACCCTAAACTTACTGAACTTTCTAGGCCCCACACCCCAAAGACCCTAACCCCTGGACCCTAAGCCCAAAACCCTAAACCCTAAACCCTGCCTTTTTGGGGGATGTGCCAGGGGTAGGCTGGGCTTGCGGCTTAAGATCTCAGGGCCAAATTCATGCGGCTGAATCCTCACCCCACCCTCTTGCTTTGGCTCTTTTCTCCCTTCAACACTCGGCAGACCCTGCACCCTAAACCCTAAACCCTAAACCTGTAAATGCTCTCTGAAAAACCCTAGAGAAGGCGTTCGAATATTCACCCAATAAGAGAACGAGCACGAAGCCTTACCTTCAAAAGGACCCTAAACCCTAAACCCTAAACCCTAAACCCTAACCCTAAACCCTGAACCCTAAACCCTAAACCCTAAACCCTGAACCCTGAACCCTAAACCCTAAACCCTAAACCCTAAACCCTGAACCCTAAACCCTAAACCCTGAACCCTAAACCCTAAACCCTAAACCCTAAACCCTGAACCCTAAACCCTAAACCCTAAACCCTAAACCCTGAACCCTAAACCCTAAACCCTAAACCCTAAACTGCTTTTCGAAGCAACCTTCCAGACCCCTTGGCTTGCTCGGACGTAGGCAGCTTTCGGGCGCGTGCGGGTGGTTTAGGGTTTAGGGTTTAGGGTTTAGGGTTTAGGGTTTAGGGTTTAGGGTTTAGGGTTTAGGGTTTAGGGTTTAGGGTTTAGGGGGCGTGGGCGTTTTGGGCTTGATTGGGGCTTACTTGGGCTTTAACTAGGGCTTATAAGTTAAAAAGGTTTCAAAGGGCTTAGGTTTCGGGTTTTGGGCTTGATTAGGGCTGAATTGGGCCTTTTAACTCGGGTTTATGAGTTACAAAGGGTTGAAAGGCTTAGGGTTTCGGGTGGCTGCACCTGGCCGTCACTTAAACATCGCAGACAGAGCTGAGCGAAGCCCACGAAGTCTTGCGAAGCCCGAAATTCAACCCCCAGCCCCACCCGCACCGAAACCCACAACCCCTATTGTAGGTTTCAGGGCATCACTACTATTTGCTTTAAGAAACGCCTACCCAAAACAAGAACAACATTCTTCCTTAGAAGGGCAACATAGGGATTACTGTCTTTCTTTGTTGGGGGGTTCTTAAGCAAGCTGTAAACATCCAGATCTTCCACAACCCCGTAATTAAGGAACATACCCTAACTTATATTCTAAAGAAAATTAGGGTGCATTCCTTACTTAAGGGCTTTTGGAAGATCCGGGTAAGGTATGCTGAGAACCCCCTTGACTTCCCGGACCTTCGCAGCAGAAGAGTTGCTTTTTTCGGCACTGCCAGCTGATAGCTTGTCGCTGGAAACCCTACGGTGCCCTGACAGTCCCTACAAATGTACGAATATGAACTACCTACTGTAACCCCAAACATGTAAGTTCTGAGTAGATAGGCCCCTGTGCTAGGCTGGGTAAGGCCTGAGCCAGGCAGATGTGGCAGGTCACTCGCTCTCCTCACGCTTTCGCTTGTTGACACTCCTTGGTTGACCCGTAGCCATATCATAATGAGAGTTGCCCTTTGGAGGGTTTAGGGTTTAGGGTTTAGGGTTTAGGGTTTAGGGAACCTAGAACCCAAAAACAGGGGCAAAAGGGCATCACTGGGCAACCGAGACTCGTCTGGTTCCCTTTGAAAACGTCCTTGGCTGTCTGGGCGCTCACTCAGCGGGTTTGGGGGTTGAGGGGTTAGGGGCTTAGGGTTGAGGGGTTTAGGGTTGAGGGCTTGGGGTTGAGGGTTTAGGGTTGAGGGGTTAGGGTTTAGGGTTGAGGGGTTCAGGGTTTATAGGTCATTTCTTGGATGCTACGACCTGTTCACGCACCCCAAACAAACCCTAAGCCCCAAGCCCTCAAAACCCCTAAACCATTCACTTGAGCCCCTCCAGCCCCAAAACTCCCTGAACCCCTAAATCCTTCGGCAGCAGGCTTGCAAAGAACAAATACAAAAAATGCCTGACATCTACACCCTAAACCCTAAACCCTAAACCCTAAACCCTAAACCCTAAACCCTAAACCCTAAACCCTAAACCCTAAACCCCAAGCCCAAGCAGCCAACGCAGCAGAGGCCTCCGTATCCGGGACGCCCGCTGAGAAGAGGCTGAGCTTAAGCATGACATCGGGCCACGCTCGCATCAACTCGGCGAATGCCTTGCTAGACTTAGGGGTTTAGGGTTTAGGGTTTAGGGTTTAGGGTTAGGGTTTAGGGTTTAGGGTTTAGGGTTTAGGGGTACCCAAGCAGGTTTAAAAGTTAAAAGGCTACCAGCTCAGCGCCGAAGATGCTGGCAGCTTGATGACGTCGACCATGTGCTCTTTGATGTAAGAGAGGCACGCCCTCTCCTTAGTAGCCCAGACACCATATCATAATAAGGGCACCCTGTTTTTTGGGGTTGGTTCCTTTATAAGGGAACCTTGAACCCCCCAAAAAAAGGAAAAAGGGCACCACTGGGCTACCAAGTCTCAAGGTGAGTGGCTTCAAGCAGATGCGCCTGACCTGGGCCGACTTCTGAACCCCCCCCCCCCCCCAAAAAAAAGAGGTTTAACTTTTAGGCTCCTAAATGTCATTTTAGTTGCTTCAAAAACCCAAAAGGTTTAGTTGCATGGGCATTTTAGTTGCTTCAAAAACCAAAAAAAGTTTGGTTGCTTCAAGAAAGGTTCAGGTCCTAAGAGCCAGCCAGAAGAAATTATTACCCTAAACCCTAAACCCTAAACCCTAAACCCTAAACCCTAAACCCTAAACCTCAAGAAAAGCCCCAGTGACAGAGGATGCGGCTGACCTCCGGCGTGGTGAGCTGATCGCACAGCTGCAGCTCGCACCACCTCTGCAGCCTTGTGACCTGGTACCTTGGCTGGTGGAGGGTTTAGGGTTTAGGGTTTAGGGTTTAGGGTTTAGGGTTTAGGGTTTAGGGTTTAGGGTTTAGGGTTTAGGGTTTAGGGTTTAGGGTTTAGGGTTTAGGGTTTAGGTGCACCTTTTTGCCTACAGGGGCGTCTACGGGGACCTAAACCCCAAAAGAGGGGAATCAGGGCCTACTCTGGGTCCTAGTTATTCTTGAAGCCTAAGCCCTAAACCCTAAACGGTTTTTTTGTACTCATGAACAGAACCAACCCCACAAGCTATTCCAGAATGGTCTTGGTGCTTGTGACTGACAGCCAGCAAGGCCTGCATCCGGGACATTCGCGAGCCTGAGCCCTAAAGCCTAAACCCTATAAACCCTATAAACCCTGCTACAAACCCTACAAACCCTATAAAACCTAAAAACCCTGAAACACCCTGAAAAACCCTGAAAACCCTAAACTCTAGACCTGCAGCAGCCAAACGCTGCTCCAGGAGACACGCATTTTGCATTGGCGCGCGGACGCGAAAATTTCTGAACCTTCGAACTTGTGTTCGGCGGAAAACGGACGGGCCAGTGATTTTCGATGTTTTTGCGAAACTGCGCGAGGGTGTCCTTAAGTATGAGCGACTGGACTTAGAAACCCTAAGCCCTGCGCCCTGAACCCTACAAACCCCTAAACCCTACAAACCCCTGAACCCTATAAACCCCTGAACCCTATACACCCCTAAACCTAAACCCTCAAAACCTCTAAACCCTAAAACCCTCCACCCTAAACCCTAAACCCTAAGACCTTCAGCCCAAACCTCTAAACTTGCGAGCCTCCTTCGCCATCCTCCGTCTCAGGCTTTCTTGCAACGAACTCCGCGACGTTGGGGAAACTGTCCGTGTATAGGAACTTCAAGAACCTCAACCGATGTTTAGGGTTTAGGGTTTAGGGTTTAGGGTTTAGGGTTTAGGGTTTAGGGTTTAGGGTTAGGGGTTTAGGGTTAGGGGTTTAGGGTTAGGGGGTTCAGGGTTAGGGTTTCGGCTCTAGCAAGTCTAGGGTTTTTAGGGTTTTTAGTGTTCAGGGTTAGGGTTTAGGGTTCAGGGCTTTGGTTTGGGGCTTCAGGGGTTTAAGGTCCAGCAAGTTTGGGGTGTTATAGGTTCCTGAGGGAGGTTCAGGGTTTAAGGTTTAGGGTTTTAGCTAGTTTTGAGAACTGTAGGTCCCTGAAGGCACGTTTAGTTGTTGCGGTCTTCATGAGCTGCACAAGGAACCGACCCCGCCCCCCCCCCCCTTCTTTCAAACGGAGGGAGGGAGAGGGAGAGAGAGAGAGAGAGAGCGAAAGCAAACAAAAGTAGGGGTGCTTCTTGGAAAGGCCGGTGGCCTCTTTACCTGTTACCCTTATACCTGTATAGCCCCTAGATACCCTAAAAAGAATTCCTCTACAAAACAGAAACCCTACTTAAAGAGACCACGAACCAATACCTAAACCCTAAACCCTAAACCCTAAACCCTAAACCCTAAACCCCAAACCTTCTCATCCTCTCTCGAGGAGCTCTTTGAAGGTGACGGGCTCGCAGTCCTCGATCACGATGACCTTCGAGACCTAGGTGTCGTTTAGGGTTTAGGGTTTAGGGTTTAGGGTTTAGGGTTTAGGGGATTGCCTATAGTTAGGGCTCCATATGAAGCAATGAGGGAAGTTGAAAATGATTTATAGTTAGGGCTCCACATTAAGCACTAAGGGAAGCTAACAGGTATTTATAGTTAAGGCTCCATATTAAGCAACCAGGGAAATTTTTGAACAAAGAAAATCCCAAATCGATACCTAGAGACTGATTCCTGCAGGCCGGCCGTCAGCTGCTTCTGGAAGACCTCCTCGGAGGGCCCCTTTTGTAAAACCCTGGGTTTAGGGTTTAGGAAAAAGCATGTTTTAAAATTCATAGCTCCTCCTCTAAACACAAAATAAGGAGAAACAAACGTTTAAAAACAAAAAAGTCCCAAGAGCCTAGCTAGAAGCCCGAAATCCTAAGCTACAAAGGATCCCCAAAACCCTACACCCTAAACCCTAAACCCGAAACCCTAAACCCTAAACCCTACAAACAACCCATGCCGAGCTGCGGATCTTGAGCACAGCAGCTGTGAGTGGGCTTGGATCGTGGCGCCCTGGACCAAGAACTGAACCTAAGGCTTTCAGTAGGGTCTAGGGTTTAGGGTCTAGGGTTTGGGGTTTAGGGTTTAGGGTTTAGGGTTTCCAGTGACCTAAGGGGGGAAAAGTAATTACATACTTGTTGGGCCACTTCCCTAAAATAGGAAACCCCGAACCCAAAAAAAAACAAAAAAAAGAGTATACTACCATTTGTCGGGTTAGTTACCTAATATAGGAATTAAGATTTAAAAACCAAAAAAAACACTGAGCAGCCTAGGAACATCACTGCAAGCGCCTCCCTCCCACAACGCCCGGGTGTCTTGGTTCCTGGGCCATCTCATGGGCTTTAAGCCCCAAGGGCTGATGTTGCAGGGCTAAGCTTAGAACAGGGTTTAGGGTTTAGGGTTTAGGGTTTAGGGTTTAGGGTTTAGGGTTTAGGGTTTAGGGTTTAGGGTTTAGGGTTTAGGGTTTAGGGTTTAGGGTTTAGGGGCAGGCCCACCACTGCGGAGGCTACGCCCCAGAATAAAGACCCAAGAAGACCCAAAGCAAGAGGTTTAGGGTTTAGGGTTTAGGGTTTAGGGTTTAGGGTTAGGGTTTAGGGTTTAGGGCTTTTTGGGTTATTTTGGGTTATTTTGGGTTATTTTGGGTTACTTTGGGTTATTTTGGGTTATTTTGGGGGTTGTAGGGTTTAGGGTTGAGCCCTACTCCCGCGCTCCTTTGAGGAATCTACCCTAAACTGTATAGACTGTATAGGGATCCTTAGTATGATTTCAGGTGCATTCCTCAATTGAGGGGTATTGGGCTCTTGGGGGGAAGTCCTTCTGCTGAGTTCATCCCTAAACTCTACAAACCCTATAAACCCTATAAACCCTACAAACCCTATAAACCCTATAAACCCTCTGAACCCTCTAAACCCTATAAACCCTATAAACCCTATAAACCCTATAAACCCTCTGAACCCTATAAACCCTATAAACCCAATAAGCCCTATAAACCCTATAAACCCTAAAAACCCTGTGAACCCTATGAACCCTATAAACCCTGCAAACCCTATGAACCCTATGAACCCTATAAACCCTATAAACCCTTAAAACCCTACAAACCCTAAACCCTATGAACCCTAAACCCTAAACCCTAAACCCTAAACCCTAAACCCTAAACCCTAAACCCTAAACCCTATGAACCCTAAACTGCTTTTCAGTTCAGTCCAGGGCGCAGGGTTGGACCGGGCACCTCAATCGCTGGGGTGAGGGCGCGAGACTCGCAGTCCCCCTCGAGGCGAATTTCCAGCACGAACTTGACGGTCAGGGTGTCGTTCCTGGGTTTAGGGTTTAGGGTTTAGGGTTTAGGGTTTAGGGTTTAGGGTTTAGGGGGTTAGGGTTTAGGGCTTAGGGCTTTAGGGCTTTGGAGTTCCTGATATTTCGACTTTCGCACTTGCCCAAGGCCGGCAAGGCTTCAGTTGCTTCTTGGTCTGGAGTGATGTTCCTGGATTTAGGGTTTAGGGTTTAGGGTTTAGGGTTTAGGGTTTAGGGTTTAGGGTTTAGGGTTTAGGGTTTAGGGCTTGGGGTTTATGCTTTGGGGCTCATCACCTGGGTTTAGGCACTCGGTTTTCCTCACTGGTTTGCGGGAAGGGGAACCCTAAACATTAGGGTTGTCAGTTCGTGTACCTTACAGCACAAAAAGAGCCCTCAACCCTCAACCCTAAATCCTAAGCCCCTTTCGAGCGCAGCAGGTGGGTCGCTGCTGCTCCGCCTCTTGCAAACAGCATCGGCTCTGCGTTTCACAAGGCTCTTATCACACTCTAAACCCTAAACCCAAAACCCTAAACCCTAAACCCGAAACCCTAAACCTAAAGCCCACCAAAAAACTGGGCTAGTTTATTGGGTTCCCCAAACCTGCCCAGACCATACATGGGGCAGCCGGGGCAGATCCCCAAGGCTTGGAGGTTTTGGGGACCCCTAAACCCTAAACCCTAAACCCTAAACCCTAAACCCTAAACCCTAGACCCTAAACCCTAAACCCTAAACCCTAAACCCCTCTGAAAGCAAGGATCTCCACCCACTGCGACTGCAGCAGCTCTTCGTGCGTGAGGCCAAAGATGCCCAAATTCTCGGGGTCCTTGACGCTCCCGTCGCGCACGTCGGGGCCGAATGCCTTGCAGCCGTGCTCATCCTGCAGGCGCGGGTCCCCACTTTGACCCGAAATGTTCGGGTTGTTGTTACCCTAAACCCTAAACCCTAAACCCTAAACCCTAAACCCTAAACCCTAAACCCTGCTTCGAAGCTCTAAACTTCCCCTAAACAAGCCACGGCCCCTTCAAAAAAAAAAGCGAGCGCCCGGAACATGAAACAAACCCTAAACTGAAATCGGGCACCCGAGGTGGGGTTCGGGGTTTGAGTTCGGCGTTATGTACTCAGGGTGATAAGGTCTGAGGTTCAGGGTTACTTGGGGTTCAGGGACTCTAGGGTTCTCAAAATTGAAAAAGGGAGAACCCTGAACCCCAAACCCTAAACCCTTTGGGGCCTTGGGAAGACCCTACCTAGCCCTGCGCTCGTCCTCCAGGACTTCCGTGCGCGTCTCACCCCACTGCACAAAGTCCTTGCCGGCGGCCTTGACGAAGATGCGGTACCGAAGAGCTATCCGGCCCCCTTCCTGATTTAGGGTTTAGGGTTGACCCTGAGGGTTAAGGGGAGTTCTAGGGTTCAGGAGGCTTCGGGGTTTAGAGGTTATACCCGACACCCTAAACCCTAAACCTATAGGGTGCGGGGGTTCAGGGGTTTATACAGGACGTCATGCAGTCACTCTGAGTAGCGGAGGTCCGAGCCAGAGCACAGAACGGCTCAAAGAGTCAGGGGTTTAGGGTTTAGGGTTTACGGTTGAGTGTTTGGGGGGCTTAGCTCGGAATGTTTCCCCTTAATACTAATAGTATTACAATAGGGAATACGAAAATCCCTATGAAGGACTGATTTCAAAGAGGCTGTTTAGGGGGGGGACCAGAGCGAAGCACCTTCTTTTGGCAACAACTCGGGCAACAACCCTCAACCCTAGAAACCCTAGAAACTAGAAACTAGAAACCCTAAACCCTAAACCCGAGACCCTAAACCCTAAACCCCGAACCTTGGAATTGTGGGATCCCAAGCCAGGATGGCCCTCTAACGCATCCGAGAAAGATTCCCAAAAAAAGGATCTCTTACGCCCAATTAAGTGGGTTTAGGGTTTAGGGTTTAGGGTTTAGGGTTTAGGGTTTGGGGTTTAGGGTTTAGGGTTTAGGGTTTAGTGTTTAGGGTTTAGGGAACATAAGCTAGCCCAAGGGCCTGCCACTGGTATGCACTTATAACTAGATGGCAAGTTCCACGAAGCTTCAAGTAGGCTGTAGAAGCCCACACCTCAACCCCACAACCTTCAAACCGCTCATCAGGGAAACCCCCATGATTCAAACCGCTCATCAGGGAAGCCCCCATGACATGGGGAAATAGGGTTGTAAGGGTTGAACTTCTCCCACAACAAAGAAAAAAGATAAGACTGTACCAAGCCTACATGCAAGGAACCCCCAAGCGTTCTCAAAGCGCGCACCCTAAACCCCAAAACCCTAAACCCCCAACCCTTTTTTGAACCCAGACTCTGCACCTAAACCCTAAACCCTAAACCCCACCTAAACCCTAAACCCTAAACCCTAAGCCCTAAACCCTAAACACTAAACCCTAAACCCTAAACCCCCCCCAAAAAAAAACTTATAGAGTTCATTCATCGGCTACGTATCTTCGGAAAAACACCCTAACTTGGGATGTTCCCCCTTATACTAACAGTCCTCAATAGGGATTCCAAGAGGGGGAACTAAGGTTTAGGGTTTAGGGTTTAGGGTTTAGGGTTTAGGGTTTAGGGTTTAGGGTAGGGGGAAAATCCCAACCTCAACCCAAACGAGCCGTGCGCCCCTCCCAGCTGCAGACGCGCGTCCCACAGGAGTACTGCCAGGGACCCATGCTGCTCCGTCCTGGGGCAGGGCTTACGTTAGGGTTTAGGGTTTAGGGTTTAGGGTTTAGGGTTTAGGGTTTAGGGTTTAGGGTTTAGGGTTTAGGGTTTAGGGTTTAGGGTTTGGGGTTTAGGGTTTAGGGTTTAGGGTTTAGGGTTTAGGGTTTAGGGATCCTACTGCGGAGCAAGGTCGAATGAGAAGCTCGCACTCGGGGGGATTCCGAAATTAGGGTAGTACCTTATTGGGTCCATATAATAAGGGAATCCTATTTGGGGAGCTGTTTTTAGGGGTCCCTGAGTTTCGTAAACCGTCACTTGAAACTGGGCCCATCAAGCGTTGAGGGTTTATAGGGCTTGGGGTGTATGGAATGTCGCTCTTGACTTGGGGTGCTCTCTGCGCTCGCAAACTTTAAGCCCCAAACCCCTGTTGCAACCAGGTCTCCCTTCAAACCCCTAAGCCCCGAAACCCCAAACCCTAAACCCCCAAACCCCCTAAACCTCCTAACCCTAAACCCCCCAACCCCCCACCCTAAACCCTAAACCCTAGACCCTAAACCCTAAACCCTAAACCCTTTTTGCTTCAGGGCAAACCCTAAACTCTAAACCCTAAACCCTAAACCCTAAACCCTAAACCCTAAACCCTAAACCCTAAACCCTAAACCCTACACCCTAAACCCTAAACCCTAAACCCTAACCCTAAACCCTAAACCCCAAACCCCAAACCCTGAACCTTCCGAGCGGCCCGATGGGACCAGGGCCCCCGGGCTCCCAGAGCAGCATGCCTGAGGTTGGGGCCTAAGAGGGGTTTCCTAAACCCTAAACCCTAAACCCTAAACCCTAAACCCCAAACATGTAGGGTTTAGGGGTTTAGGGCTTATAGGGGTTTAGGCTTTAGGGTTCAGGGTTTGGGGCTTGTAGAGGTTTAGAGCTTTGTTTCAGGGTTTTGTCCAAGGCTCTAACCTAACGATTTCAAAAATGGGTGGTTGTTGTCAGCATTATGGTCCCTTTTCGGATCCCTATTAGAATACGGCACCGAGTATTTCCGGTACCCCGAAACGGGATCATAACTTTGACCACCACCCAAATCCCTAAACCCTAAACCCTAAACCCGACATGTTGTTTGTTGAGTTGTAGGGCTTGGGGCCTCAGAACCCCCAGGCTTCTTCTCGGAATTTGGTGTTCGTCTCAGGGCCTTACGGCTAAGAGCCCGGCACCTCATTCTTGTGTAGGGCCGGGCTTCGGGTGAAGGAGAACCTGATACTTTGCAATCCCTTGCAACCCTAAACCCACCGAAACCCTAAACGGGGTGGGAGGGGGGGGGGGGCGGTTTAGGGTTTAGGGTTTAGGGTTTAGGGTTTAGGGTTTAGGGTTTAGGGTTTAGGTTCTGCTTAGATTTGGGGGTCACTATTTGGCATGGTGTCGGAGTCACAGGTTGGGCCTCCTGCCTTCCAGGCTTTGAGGGTTTTGTTGAGATTCTGGGGCTTCAGGCTTGCTAGGGCTTAGGCCTTAGGCCTTAGGCCTTAGGCCTTAGGCCTTAGGCCTTAGGCCTTAGGCCTTAGGCCTTAGGCCTTAGGGCTTAGGGCTTAGGGTTTAGGGCTTAGGGTTTAGGGTTTAGGGCTTAGGGTTTAGGGTTTAGGGCTTAGGGTTTCTATTAGAGGGTCCTTAAGGGAAGGGATTCCATGGAGGGCAGGTAAACTTAGGGAAGCTAAGTGAACCCTCGGGAATCGTGGGGAGTATGAGGGAACCTGGGTTTACACACCCCATTAAGTTAGGGTTGAAGGTTTAGGGTTTAGGGTTTAGGGTTTCAGGGTTTCAGGGTTGCGGCGCTTCAGAGCAGGATGCTACAAGCGAAAGTTGGCTGTTGATGGAGCGACCTCCTGTAAGCACTCGACCCAGATGAATGAGAAAGACCTCTTGGGTGGTTGTCACAATTCTGATCCCTTCTTGGTGTACTAAATGTTAGGTGCTGCATTAGAATAGCGATCCAAACAGACAACCACCCTCTTGGACTCTGAACTTGATACCGCCATGTCAGCCCTGAACCCGAAAGCCCTATGTCAAAAAGCCCTGAAACCGCAAACTCTAAAACTCTGAGCTCTAAACCCAACCTGTACCCTAAAACCCTAGCACCCTAAAGCCCTGAACGCGACCTAAACCTTCTTGAGCCAAGGCTACACCCTAAACCCGGCCTAAACCCAAAATCCGAAAGCCCAAAACTTCCTGAAAGCATCTGAGAGCCCCAAAGCCCTAGAACAACCCTAAATGGAACCCTAGAACCCTAAAGTAAGGCCTAAACGTCTAGAACCCTACACCCTCTCTCTTAAACCTCTCAACCCCTAAACCTCAAAGCCTAAACCCTAGAACCCTAAAACCCTCTCGAGACCCGTAGACCCATACACCTGGAACCGCAGCCCAGAACCTCGAACCCTACCACCCTCGAACCCTGGAAGCCTCGAACACTAAAACCCCTACGCCCTAGACCCTAAAACCCTGTGTAACCCTACAGAACCTGCAGACTTGATACCCCCACCCCAAACCAAGCAGAGCATCGGGTAGGGCGGGACACGTGCACCTTCAGGGCTGCGCACATCATCTTCTGCACCCCCCCCTCGACCTGCTCGGCCAGGAAGCTGGAGCGTGCCCAGACGATGATTCGCCCATCCCGGCAGTGGGCCACAATCCTGGCCTGCTTCTGCCTGACGTCAGCTAAAGCCTCCAGCCTCACCCAAGCACGAGCTCGACGCAAGGATCTGCATTCCACGTGCGCTTGCAGCATTTGCATGTGTGTGGCTACCTGATTTTTCCCTCCGCCGGGGGCGATGACAGTCTTCCAACTGATGCCGCTAACCCTCCTCCTAAACCTTTGCGGCTCCCCTCCAGCTGCGTTGCCGTCATTTGGCCTGGCCAAGTTCTCCAAACAACACGCCGCGCACACGAACGAGCATCCGCGCCTCGCCCGGGCCAGTTTCACCCTATCAGCCTACAGACGCACATGGGCGGACACAGGCAACATACACCCTAACCCACTCGGCGAACACAAGCAACGTAAAGCGGCAGTTTTTGCAGCCTTGGTGAAAGTGCCAGGACTCCCTTGGCGCAATGTGCAGGCCAGATGGGGAAGTGGTCTACTTGGGACAGAAGGGGTCCGGCCGGACCTCACCTTCGTGCAGATGCAAAGTTGGCAACGCGGAAGTCACAAACTCACACGAACAGAGCCAGTTAGGCTAAGCAAGGCCCTGGGGCCAACTAACTGCAGTGACACTGGCTGGATATCTTACTGTGTCCTGGCCATCCGAAACCTCAGGAACAGTTCACATCACACCTCACACACGGAGGGACGGTAGGCAAAGCATGGCCCCTCCGGTAATCTGCAGTGACACAGAATTTGATATCCTTATCCTTAATGTGCCTTGGGTCATCCTAAACCTCAAGCCCAATCCTGGCCTAAACTGGGCCTAGAGCATGCAGCAAGTAACAGGACAGAGGAAACTTACCTCCACCCTGACTTGGTACCTTTGGCGCTGGGCAGATGCCTCCCATCAACAAAAGGCGCTGGGACGACGATTCCCACGCTATCGCAGGGAACGACGCCCTGCTGCAAAGACATCCGCGTACCCCCCAACACTAACCAGCGCAACGCGGCCAAGCAAGGGACTGTAACTGTTCACCTTAGGGCCCGTAGCCCACACACAGGCCTACACCGACCACACTGCAGCACATCTGTGGCAGGCAGACCACCGAACCAGGCCTGGGCATGAACTCCTGCTGGGGCCCAGCAAAACAAAGCATAGGAGCATAAGCGGAGGGACTCCAACTCACCCCCGAGCCCGAGGAAGGCGTGACGATAGGACAGGGCCCGTAGACCCCTCAACGCTGCCAGGTATGACTAGAGGCAACTGCGCGCAATGCCTTACAGTCCAAACGGCAAGGCGCATACACGGACCACTCGTGGGAACCAGTAAAGACCAGCAAGCCCTAAGCTTCCCGAGACCTCACATGAGCGACCAGGTGCCCCTGGGAGGTCTGGCGCAAAAGGCGTGCTGCTTTGGAGTTTGCCCGTCTGAGAATGGCATGTTTCGGGCTGTACAGCGCAGGGAGAGTTCCCAGTTAGCAAGTGTGTCGCCCGCTAAGCCGACCTTCCCGAAATGGGGTTGAGGTCTAACTTTGCACGAATTCATGTAGGCTACCGAACAAGGTTACTGACCGCCCACGTCGCTTTGGAGCCAGGCAATCGGGCTGCGGAACCAAAGGCGGTAGAACATGCGCGGTCTTGATATGCCCACCCCCCAACCCGGCCCCAATGCCTACAAACAAAGCACGGGGTAGGGCGGGACGCATGCACCTTAAGGGCTGTGCACATCATCTTCTGCACTAAGCCGCTACATCCCTCGAGACCCCTTGAGCCCTACACCCTACTACCCTAAACCCCTAAGACCCTAAACCCTAGGAGCCTAAACCCTAAACCCTAGAACCCTAACCCGAGAACCCTACACTCTAGAACCCTCAACTCTAGAACCCCAAAAACCCTAAACCCTAAAACCCTAACCCTTAAACCCTAAACCCCAAACACCTCGAAGCCTAAACCTAACCATAGAACTTCAAGCTGCCTCCATCAGGATTGTAGGCGAACTCGAAGTCCTGCCCGCCAACCTGCGAGTGGTCTTCAACCCTGGGAGGATCCAAAAAGTCGAAGGGTTTAGGGTTTAGGGTTTAGGGTTTAGGGTTTAGGGTTTAGGGTTTAGGGTTTAGGGTTTAGGGTTTAGGTTTTAGGGTGAATCCTGAACCCGAAACCCTTTTGCTCCAAATCATACAATATACTACGACTGGGTCATTCTTAACAAAACCTTAAAGGGATCTACTTTTTGGATCCTGCCCGGGGTCTGGGAATAGGCTCTCCTTCTGCCGCAGGCTTCGCAGGAGTCACGGAAGGGTTTGGGGCTTAGGGTGTGGCCTCTCACACTCGCGCAAGGCAGGCAAGGCTCTCGGTTCGCGCTCAGGGTTTTTTAGGGCTTCGGGGGGTTTAGGGCCTCGTCGATGTAAACCCCCCGCTGAATCTGTACGTGCGCACTGAATGGATCGAGATGTTGATTGAGCACGGCTCATGAACCTTGTCAAGTGGGGTGTAGGGTTTACCCCAAAGCCTGAACCCAAAACCCCAAACCCTACCCCTAAACCCTAAACCCTAAACCCCAACCCCTAAACCCTAAACCCTAAACCCTAGAGGTTTGGGGGCCTGGAAGATCTTGGACTGCACGTAGTTCAGCTCCTCCTGCTCCAGCATGCTGCGCACCCACGACCTTCAAGGAACTTGGAGCCCTAGCGCAAAAATGACAATTTTAGCTGTACCCCTAAACCCTAAACCCTAAACCCTAAACCCTAAACCCCCCAAAATGCCCTCAGCGACATGGACTCGATCTTCCAGATGTACTCGCCCCTGGCGACCCGGTGGCTGCAGTTCGTGATCTCTCCTCAGCTGCGCAACTTCCGTGATGTCTTCTTCTGCTTGCGCCTTGCCCTAAACCCTAAACCCTAAACCCTAAACCCTAAACCCTAAATCCTAAACCCTAGACCCTAGACCCTAGACGCTATCGACCCTAGACCCTAGACCCTGAAAATATTGCTTTGTTCTGGGACTCTCCGGGATCCGCCCCAAAGACTGACTGACGCCCCTCGCACCCCTCCACACAAGGCACTTCCTGACATAAACTTCTGAAAGCCAAGCCCTCATCATTATCCTTTGGGGGGGGTTCAAGGGGGATGTGTATCCCCAAGTTCCTTAATACTCCCCACTAGCCCCTGAAGCTCCCTAAGCTTCTTCCCCGGGTACCCACCTCCATGAACCTCCCTTGTAAGGACCTTACAGTCATGACATAAAGCTGAATTCCGTCATAAGAAAGAGTCTTGCATCTCAGGGTAAGGCAGTTAAAAGGGGACCCCTTTTTTTCACTCTTATTCTTATGTACCCTGCAGAACCCTTTAAATAAGGTAAGGGAACATATGAAGGGACCGTGAAACGACCGGGAAACTACCTGAGACTACCCTTGAAATGAGTGCCCTAAACCCGGCAGACCCTAAACATCCTGAAACATCCTGAGGGGCATTCATGAGAAAGAACATCTGGCCCTAAGTTAGGGCAAAATACGCCCCAAAAACCCTAAGCCCGGAAAAAGGAGCTCCCCACTTGCAGGTCCCACCCTCAACCCATCGTAAGTTTAGGGGTTTAGGGGTTGAGGGGTTGAGGGCCGCAGTGGCGCCCCAAAAACTAGACCCAAGAGTAACCTGGGGAATCCCTAAACCCTAAACCCTAAACCCTCAACCCTAAACCCTAAACCCTAAACCCTAAACCCTAAACCCTAAACCCTAAACCCTAGCACCGCCAGAGGCTCCATCGAAGCGATTCACCAGCAGCGTCTCGCGGCGAGCTGGGCACTGGCCCAGCAAGCGCGGAGCGGGGCCAGACCGGTCTTCGTCTACGTCTCCTCAGTAGGGGATAGGACTAGGGTTTAGGGTTTAGGGTTTAGGGTTTAGGGTTTAGGGTTTAGGGTTTAGGGTTAGGACTAGGGGGACCCTTGGGGATAAAGACCCTCTGAATAAGGTCCCTGTTTAAGAGAGACAGAAGAAGGTTAAGAAGGGGTTCCCTTTTAAGGGTCCCCCTTATCCTACCTAGGACTCAGCTGGCATCCAGAACTGAATCAAGGAATATACCCTCATCACAAAACGATGATCCTTAGTCTAAATTGGGGTATATACCCTAATCATAAAACTATGATCCTTAGTCTAAATTGGGGTATATACCCTAATCATAAAACTATGATCCTTAGTCTAAATTGGGGAATATACCCTAATCATAAAACTAGGATCCTTAGTCTAAATTGGGGGTATATTCCTTAAGTAAAGGTTTTTTTTTGTAAGAATTGCCCGGGTCTTCCGAAACCCCTTAATCAAGGAATATTCCCTAATCTGTAACTATGATCCTTAGTAGAAATTAGGGTGTATTCCTTAATTGAAGGCGTTTTTTTGTAAGATTTGGGACTGTTTGCTTAAGAACCCAACAAAAAACAAAGACACTAATTGCTCCCTATAATAACTTTATAAGGAGCAAGAATACATTTTACATGTTTGGTGTCTTGTTAAGCAATATAGTAGAGAAGGCCCATGAGAGAGGAGAGCTGTAAGCCTGTGACAAATTCGACTTGCTAGCGAGATGTGCGACAGGCATGCACTGCGAAGATGAACATCTTTGCACGCTCTGTTGTCATCTAGACATACACGCCGGTTGTGCAAGGGACCCCATTTTTTCCCCCCGAAACCGTGTGGCAACGCGATCATCCGATCCACACCCACACACTCCCTTTCTGCGAATGGTCTTGGCGCGCTCTTCTTGGAATGGTCTTGAAGCGGGTTTAGGGTTTAGGGTTTAGGGTTTAGGGTTTAGGGTTTATTGTGCTGGCTCATGGAGAGCCGGGGTTTGATGCGACCTTTCATGGCTTTTGGCGTTCTAAGCCACGGAAGCCCGCAACACCCACCCAGCCCTCAACTCCCTCCCCACACCCCGCAAGGGTTTAGGGTTTAGGGTTTAGGGTTTAGGGTTTAGGGTTTAGGGTTTAGGGTTTAGGGTTTAGGGTTTAGGGCGACCTGGTTCTAGGGGTTGTACCTTGGACCCTGAAGGTTGTACCCTTGGGACCCTCTTTGAAGATCCTGTATATGGGCCATTTGAGGAGTATGTTACCGGGAGCCTTTCTTAGGGTTTAGGGTTTAGGCTTTAGGGGTGCAGCCTTAGGTGCAGAAGTCTTATTCCCTTCACACAGTTGCCACTCTCAGGGCTTTCGACTTTACAGAGCTCCTTTCTTTCGAGCCGAGGCGCGCCGGTACTGCCTCCGCCACTGGTTCGTGTCCTGCTCCTCCTGCAGAGGGTCTTGCACCCTAGACCGAATCTTCGAATCTTCGGTGAGGACCCGATATAGCTGAGCCTCTTTTTAACTAGCACTGACCTCCGACCCCTCAACGCCAATCCCTAGACTTTAAACTTTAAACCCTTTTTTGTCCCTCGACCCCAATTGCCTGAAGGACCCTAGAAGCGGACGTTTATGCCTAAACCCTAAAACCACTAAAAACCCCCAAAACCCTAAACAACCCAAAACCTTAAAACCACCTAATAAACCCAACCAAAAACACAATACACTCTAAAAACCCTCAAAAAAAAACCGGGCCTTCTGCGACTTCACCCGGTACTGAACCCCAAACCCTGAACCCTAAGCCGAAAACCCCCAAAACAACCCTAAACCCGAAACCCTAAACCCCTAAATCCCTACACAACCTAACCTCCAGGGTCTTGCGCTGCTTGTCCAGCTCTCGGCGGAGCCGTTGCCTTTCTTCGGCCTGCTGCAAAAGCCAGGTGAAAGGCTTAGGGTTTAGGGTTGAGAGCATGGGGTTGAGGGTTTAGGGTTTCGAGTTTGGGGTGGTTTTCTTTTGCCACCCGCCTAGCTGACCAATCTCGAACGAGTTCGGGTTTTGGCATTAGGGTTTGGGGTTTTGAGGTGCTTACCCGCACCTTAGAAGGAATCTTGTACAGGGGCCTGTGTACAACAAGCTCCAACACAAGCCGTGGGTGTTGGGTTCTTGGGCTTGGGGGGCCCTAAACCCTAAACCCTAAACCCTAAACCCTAAACCCTGATTAAGCCCTAAACCCTAAACCCTAAACCCTAAACCCTAAACCCTAAAACCTAAACCCTAAACCCTAAACCCTAAACCCTAAACCCTAAACCCTAAATGCTAAACCCTAAACCCTAAACCCTAAACCCTAAACCCTAAACCCTTGGTCGCAGCATCGGCCTGCACCATCTCCTTGCGAAGGTCATGACCTTTGTCCCGTGCCGCCTGAACCTGGCAACTTGGAGTTTAGGGTTTAGGGTTTAGGGTTGAGGGTTGAGGGTTTAGGGTTTAGGGTTTAACCCCTTTTTTACCGTACTTAGAACCCACTTATAAGCCCCAAGTGCCCTAACATGGTTTTATGTACATTTGTAAGTACAGTTCTAAGTGGTAAATAAGTACCATGAACCTCCAAGTAGGTGGAAGGGGTCAGGGAAAAGTCGGCAACTCTAAGGGATCGCCTATAAGAGGTGTAGGGTTTAGGGTTTCGGGCTAATTTTGGGGGGGACGAGGTACCCTCAGGTAGCCCATCCGTTGAAGCTTCCCCTAAACCCTAAACCCTAAACCCTAAATCCTAAACCCTAAACCAGATACCGGCCTGCTGCTTCGTGGCGTCAATCTCCGCGCGCAGGCCCTCTGCTGTGCAATCTGCCACGCAATCTGCTGTGCCATCTGCCATGGCTCCGTACACCCTGTTTAGGGTTTAGGATTTGGGGAGAGTTTAGGGTTTAGGGTTTAGGGTTTAGGGTTTAGGGTTTAGGGTTTCAGTAAGACGTAAGCCTTAAGCCCTATAAACCATAAGGCGTAAATCACAGGTTGGTGCTTAGAGACTTGGGTCACGTGGTGGCGATATTTGGGCCCGTCTTAACGTCTTGACACTTGACACACACACGGTTTAGGCGTGAATGGTTCGTAACGGTATCCTGGGTAGGCTCATAGTCCGTCCCCAAACCGCCGTACCATGTAGTATGCACCAAAACCCTGAACCCTATTCTAACCACTAAGACCCCTATTCGGTACCCAAGACCGGAAGCTTGAAGCGCAGAATCTTGGAGCAACGTGGCGAGACAAGAACTAAAGCCGAGCCGGCCCACGGCAAGGAAACAACTGCTTTAGGGTTCTAGTTCCAGGGTTGGGGTTGCAAAAAAAGGGTTGAGGTTTAAGGCTGAATGTTTGGTGTGCTGCATGTTTTCGGGCACATCACGGGGAGTCAGCAACGGAAGCAGGCTAGCTAATCAAAACATCAGCGCGGAAGTGTTTGTTGATTCTGGGACTGCGAAGCAGCAATTCGTAAGCGTTCACCGAAGTTTACATGTCGTAGTCTTGACACAAAAGTTCGAGTTCAGGGCTTAAGTGGGTCGAGAGTTTACCCGAAGGGTCACATGTCTCTAAATAAGGAATACTTGGGCCTCAAAGTACTTCCTATATTTAGGGTTTAGGGTCCTCCCCAAGTTGCGAACCATGCACTGGAGATGAAGGTGACATCTCACCGAGGTGACTGGCAAAGACTGGCGGATCCAGACTCAGCCTCTTCTCTGCACCCAAAACCCCCACCCTACCCGCCAATCGGTCTAGGGTTTAGGGTTTAGGGTTTAGGGTTTAGGGTTCTTCTGAGAAGCTGCATAATTGGGTTTGGGAATCGCAAGTCGAGCAGACCATGACGGCAACTTCCCGGGTGTATCACGCACGCTTCACCTTGGAGTTCTAACAACTAAGCGGGTTTAGGGTTTAGGGTTTAGGGTTTAGGGTTTAGGGATTAGGGATTAGGCACCCAACTTAGGCTTTCTGAAGTGAAGTCCTGTGCACCGTTTCAGAAACGAGCCCTGCTAGTAGACCCGAAGCCCCCTATGATCCCCAATTCAAGCCCCAACGCTACATCCCAAACACTACAACCCAAAGGGTTTAGGGTTTAGGGTTTAGGGTTCACAAACCAAATAAGCCCAACGCCCAAACCCGAGCTACCGAGATAAACCCTACACTCCTGAAGCCACACCTGCAGTACAGGGCCAAAACACCTGCCCAGATCTTCCAAAACCCCTGAATTAAGGAAGATTCCCTAACTCAGAATAATGATCCTTCGCATAAACTAGGGCATGCTCCTTAATTAAACCCTAAACCCTAAACCCTAAACCCTAAACCCTAAACCCTAAACCCTAAACCCTAAACCCTAAACCCTAAACCCCAACTCCTAAACCCTAAACCCTGATTAAGGGGTTGAGGGGTTTTGGAAGATCTGGGTGGTCTAATCTTCGAAGCCCAGACGATGCCAAGTGCGGCTTTTCCATGCCTGGCGCTTCTTCGACTCCTACAGGTCTGCTGGTGCAACTCGAGACCACGGTTTAGGGTTTAGGGTTTAGGGTTTAGGGTTTAGGGATTAGGGATTAGGATTTAGGGCTGGGGTTTAGGGTCCGAAAACATATCAAAACCCCCAGCCGGCCCCCGTTGCTAAGAGATGGCTCACCTAGCCGTGCATTCTGCATACCTGTTGACCCAGCACCTTGGTCCACAGAAGGCCCTGAATGGTAAGGCTGCTCTTCTTCCTACCATTTGGCTTAAGAAGGGAATGCCAAAAAGAAAAAAGACAATTCAAGCTATTCGGGTTTAGTAAGGGAGCGCAAAAAGCAAAAGGGCCAATTCCGATTCCTACTATCTGGTTTTAATAAGGGAACACAAGAAGAAAAAACAGGGCAGATTCCTACTATGTGGCTTTAATAAGAGAACCCCAAAGGAAAAAGTGCCAATTGCTACTATGTGGTTTTAATAAGGGAACCCAAAAGAACAAGAGCCAATTTCTAAAGAACAAGTGTGGTTCTAATCAGGGAACTCAAAAAGAAAAAAGACCCTAAACCCTAAACGAAACCCTAAACCCCCAAAAAGGGTGCTACTGATAGACCGAAGCACTTCATCGGGTGTCGGCCGTAGTAGTCCGGGTTCGCGCCGGTGCAGGGCGTTGCCTTGAACAAGCCGCTTGGCCTTGGTGCAGCACTTCAGCAGTCTTTGGGGTTTTAGGGTTTTGGGTGTACCCCTAAACCCCAAAACCCCAAAACCCCAAACCTCAAACCCTAAACCCTAAACCCTAGCGTTTAAGGGTTTAGGGCTAGCAGCTTGGCACACACCCCGGAGGGCAGCAATCCATCAGCTGCCCTGATGTCGACATGGCCTTGTTGCTGCTAAGCAGGGGTCTAAACCCTACACCCCTATACTACCCCAACCATAAACCCTAAACCCTAACCCCTAAACCCAAAACCCTAAATTAAACCCCAAACTGCCCCAGGCCTAAACCCTGAACCCCAAGGCGTGTTGGAACCTAGCCTCACACCCTCAACACAAAAAACCCTAAACCCTGAGTCCCAAGCATGTCTAAGCACTTCCACCTGGGAGTGCTGCCGAATGAAAGCTCAACTTCCTGAAAGCTCAACTTCCCTGGCGCACCTGAAAATGCCCTTGAGCTTGGGGCTATAATCTTCCGAGTCGCGTACACTATTCGATGTGATAGATAAAGGTATACATAAAAATCTGTGTGTGGGTGGATGTATGTATGATGGATGGATGGACGGGACGGGGGCATGTACGGAATGGACGGAATGGACGACGGACGGATGGATGGTGTTATGTATGTATGTATGCATGCATATGCTTTTTCTCTATATATATAGTGTATATATATATTAGTTATATATATGTATATTTATAGTTGTAACAAACATTCATAGCAAAATTCAGCAGTCCGAGGCCCCCCACGTCTCAGCGCAGCCTCTCGCCGGGCAGTTGCTGGGGCCGAAATGGCCGGGATTCCGGTAGTAGCGACCATTCCTTGTTAGGGCATAGGCTTTAGGGGCTTAGGGGTTAGGGTTTAGGGTTCAGGGTTTAAGGGTTTAGGGTTCGAAGGGTTGCATAGGGGTAGAGCTTAACCGAGTCAGTACCGGTTGACCAGGGAAAAACTCTGGACAAGAGTCTGCCTGTTTTCCATGCGCAGCAGTGGGCTCCGCTTTCTTAGTTGCTGGAGTTCACAAGCCCCAAAAAAAGTGCACACTTCAGCTTTTATTAGGGGATTATAGTATCCCCAAAACTTGTACACTTTCAGTTCTTATTAGGGGATTCTTGCTCATAGTATCTCAAAAGTGTAAGCGTACCCACTCAGCTGCTAAGTTTCCGTGCCTTCTAGCCCTGCATCGGCTTGCTGGTGCAAGTGCTCGAGGTGATTGCTTCCACCTAAGGGGGAGTACATGTTCACCCTTTGGGATTCTCAGGGGGATTCTAAGGGCAACTACATGCTAACCTTTGGGATTCTAAGATTCTAAGGGGATTATATAACCCCAAAAAGGTTAAAGGTTCCCCTACTCTAAAACTAAGTCCACCTGCAACAGGTTTGAAAGTGGTGGGGAAGTCAATGCCCCTGGAGTCCAAGACCTCACCGAGCTCAGACTTTCTGCTCCTAAGGCCCCATGCGCGGCTGTAGATGCACACATGGAGTTACAGCGCTTCCTGCATAGTAGCTTCAAGGCCGTAACATATACTGCACGGACTATATGGGTCGAGAGCACGCCTCATAGGGTCCAAGAACAACCCTGAACCCTGAAAGCCCTGAGCCCTTTCGTAAACCCTAAACCCTTTAAACCCTAAACCCTAAATCCTGGAACCTAAATAAGCCCTAACCTAAACCCTGAACTCTAAACTTAAATCCTAAACCATAAACCCTAAACCCTGAAACCTAAACCCTGAAACCTAAACCTAAACACTAAACCCTAAACCCTAAACCCTAACCCTAAACCCTACACCCTAAACCCTCTCAGGTGGCCTTCGCCGGTGTGCTCCGTGCGGATGGCCAGGACCACACCCAGCCCCAGCACCAGGAGAGCGCGCAAGGCATGTCTGGGTGGCAGGTTTAGGTTTAGGGTTTAGGTTTAGGGTTTGGGTTTAGGGTTGGGTTAGGGTTTAGGGTTTAGGGTTTAGGGTTTAGGTTTAGGGTTTAGGGTTTAGAGTTTAGAGTTTAGAGTCCGCCGACCCTGGCGGCGTGTTGGATGGGAAAAGGAGGTGAAAACCTCCTCAGCAAAATCAGTGTTTTGGCACCCACCCCCCCCCCCCCCCACCCCCCCACCCCCCCCACCCCCCCCCACCCCCCCCCACCCCCCACCCCCCCCCCCCCCCCCCCCCCCCCCCACCCCCCACCCCCCACCCCCCCCCCCTGCCCCCCCACCCCCCTACCCCCCCACCCCCCCCCCCTCCCCCCCACCCCCACCCACCTGTCTTTTTGGCTTGAGCTTGTCCTGTGCTACCCCCTACCCCCCCAAGGCTGGGATGATCTTCGAACCCTGTGAGCGGGTTTAGACCTCTCAACTATGCTCCAGCGGGGTCGGCGGCTTGAGCCGGAGGCTCTTAAATTTAGGGTTGGCTATGCGGGTTGCACTGTAAAGAAGGTATGAAGCTTCAGTCCTAGATCGTTGTGAGTCTTCTTGGACCCTAACTCCTAAACCCTAAACTCCTGAACTCATTTTGTGATGCGGCATCAAGATCCTGAGCCTAAACCCGAACCCTAAACCCACTCAACCCGGAGGGGCTTGCTGCACTAAGCTTTCCTCTGCTGTAAGGGGCCGGTTCCACGGACATTTTACTGTGCCGGCCGTAGGGTGCATCATATAGGGACCTTGAGGTGGCGGGGGGGGCACTATAGTAGAATAC